GAGAGACCACTAACCTTGCTTGAGGCAACTTTGGCATGGAGGACAGGAAGGCAGGTGGGGAGGCAGTTATTGTTTGGAGGGAGAGTCCCCCTTGCCTACAGGAAGCCACGACCATGTGTCACAGCAGGGAAAATGGCCACGGGTTGTGTTCGTCACCCGATGCGGCGTTCGCGAACAGAAGCAAAATTTTGCGAACGGTGCTGTTCGTGAACCGAATTGTTCATGAACAGAAGCGTTCGTGAACCGAGGTACCACTGTAGTATTTCAGAATGCATGGGAACAGATATAAAGCATCTCTGTTCAAACTGTTAAAGCAGCTGCATCTTTTTCTAGGCTTCTGCAGCAGCTACAGAAATTGTAATTTTCCAAAGCATTTCTTTCCAAGGATTTGAACAATTAGCCCTAACCCTAATAAAATGTTCTCTCACTTCAAGAAACTGGAGACAAACCACAGAAGATATTTCTCTCCTGTATTATTACTTCTTGCCCAGTTATGTGGGAAAACAGAAAGTGAGATCAGATAGAATTTAGATATGACTCAAGGTTCATGTTCTTCTTTACTTGCAAATTTTTTTGCTTGTGTCTTAAGTGTTCATTGATTTTGATCCCTAAACTCCAGTCAGCATGAATATTTAGTTATGTGGTCTACTGGAAACAATGTGGTATAGTATGGCCAAAAGCATCTACATATCAATTATCACTTTGATGTACATACCAATCAGGCGTAACGCAGATCTGGTTTAGTAAAAACCTCATGGAAGTCTGGTTTTGCACATCAACCTCCTTTTTTGGGGGACCATGAGTCTTCCTTAACTAAAACTATTTCCTGCTGCCTTGGTAAACCAGGAAGTCAGGGTGCTTGGCAATAGGTCACTGTGCTTCCTTCTCCACTGCAAATAGTCTTGCACCTTTAGCTTTCTGAAAAATTTCCAGAAACTGCTTAACAGCTAATACAATCTACCTTCTCTGCTCTAATTATCTCATCTCTACTTTTCATTTCTTCAACAAAATAAGTTATCTATAGTTTCACTTTAAATCATCTTATTTGACTGATCCATGGTTTTCAAAGAAAAAGTTAATATCAGAATTTTAATTTGAAAATCAATAATAACCACAGAAAATTATTTGCCTGATATCTATCCAGTTCAGTATAGAATATAGGACCCTAGATGTATAAGGATAATGTTGCCATCAAATAAAGGTCCCCAAATTCCTAAGGAGAGTGATCAACTAAGCAGCATACTGGCTAGGAATTCTACCAGTTATGGTCTCACCACATCTAGAGGAACCATTTTTGTTTTTACTGATTTTCTTATTATAGGCTTCTAATTGGACCAATAATCCAAGTGAGTATATTTACATGTACAGGTGTGTATGTGTGTGATATAGATACATTTATATAGACACAGAAATAAATAAATGGAGAATGAAATGGAGAATATACCACTTATTCTTAATGTGCAGTTTTTCCTTACCATAAAACATATGTTATTTTCTTTAACATTTGAGCTGTATAAATGCATTTCTGCAAATAAAGGAAAACTTGTATGCCCAATTCAGCTCAGTGGATGTAGGCAGTTAACATAAAATAAAAACCCAAGCCAATCTAAAACACAACACATCACATCACGCAACACCTGTTTATTTAGTTCAACATACCCTCTATGTCATCCCCAGATCTCAGGGCAGGAAATAAAATGATGCCATGATTTTTTAAAAAAAATAAAACATAAAATATGGATCATAAAATAACCAGTAAAATCTAGTAAATCCAAAGTCCATTTGTCATATCTCTTCCTACAGCTCAGACCACTCTCCAAATCTCCTCTCTTGAGTTGTCATTGATTTGGGTTAAAATAGATGAGCAATGGGCTATCAGGAATGAAATGGCATTGGGTAACCTCCCCTATAAGAATTGATTTTATTAGGAATATTCCACTATCAATTCTATTGATATCAGTTGCCATATATTTTTTTTTCCATTCTTGATTTGTGTTATGTTTCTGAAAAAAAATATCCTATTCCTTAATCCCTTATTCTCCTCTTCTCTCTTCCTGCTTCTGCTGAATAAAGCAGCATATGAATGCAAATAAAAAGGTGCAAAGCTTCAATCACCCCATCATGCCTGCCAGTTTGAAGCCAGTGACTGTCGCTACAGATAGCCCTGATCCTTGCACATTCTGAAGCACATTTTCCCCTTCAAATCCAAAGTGCTGCTCAGCCCTATTTGGTAGCATTTTTTTGAGGAACTAGGTACTACACCCATGGCTCTGGGAGGGGTACAAGTAATTTGATTGTTGATTGATTTTTTGCCATCAAGTTGGTGTTGAGCACATAGAGTTTCTTCAGGATGAGCTGTCCCCAACCTGATCCTTCAGGTCTTCCAACAGTATACCCATAGCCACTTAATTGAATCCATCTACCTTGCTGCTACCTTTTATCTTTTCTTCAATGTTTTTCAACATTACATTTATAAAGGGAGCTGGGTCTTCACATAATGTATCCAAAATATGATAGCTTAAGTCTGGGCATTTATGTGCCTCAAGTGAGAATTCTGGATTGATTTATTCTATAATCTATGAAATATACAAGGTACCTACCTTCTTCATAGGAACCTGAGGTGAGAGTGGCAGGGAAGCCAAGCAAAGCACATTGTCAGTCTTAATCTCTGTCAGTAGCATAGACTGGCGGGAATCAGCATAAGATGGCCAAACTCCCTAATCTATATAGCATTAGAGTAAAATGCTATATACCAAAAATAGTGCATCTGATCCTACTAAATAGCCATTTTCCCCTAATAAATTAAACTCTCATAACAAAACATTTTTCTACATAAACTAAGCAGTAGGAACTCTTTTAATATCCTTAGTATTATTCCAGACAATGTTTTACTGATCCACAACTATGGAAATTTAGTCCAAATGCTTCCTACCTGGACAATGCTCATTGTACCATCCAAAGAAATAGAATATGGTTATCATAGCATACTGTTGATTTAACAGTTTTCTGAAGAAGAGTTTTTCCCATTCACTTGCTCTCTTGCCTGCCTATTCCATGCTGTTTTGGGAACAGTTGCTTAATATCTTAGGATACACAGGCTTTTTCAAGAAATGAAGGCTAATGCTTCTCAGATGGATTAGTAATACAGCTTCAGAATAAAAGGTTTTATTTCATTTGTCATTATCCTCCAGACTGTATAAAAGCATTAAAAAGCATTTACAAAGCATTACAAAGCTATTAAATACATCTACTGTAATATTAAAATCACAGTTAATCACTTAGAATAACATGAAGCAAACAATAAATTCATACACACACACACACACACACACACACACAGTATATTTTCCTCCTTGCAGGAAAGTGTTTGAAAGCTGCACAAAATGATCACATAAAATATATGTAAGTTGAAATGAGTGCTAAACCCAAGCTATATTTTCATAAAGAGATCATTTTAATGTAATAAGGATAGACTAGCATAAAAGTGGATACCTTGCAGCCCGAAGCTGCTGCAGTTCACAATTCCTTTGTGGTTTCTAGAGCCTTTCTGATCATGTTGCTTAAATTTTTGGATCCCAAACATTTTGATGCAGGAAACATGCCTAAGAGTATATCTTAAGCCCTAAACCATTTAAAAACAAAGTAGCCCCTGAAGTCTTATGCTTGAAAATCAAGATAATCTCAGCCCTCTCTGTATACATGATGCAGCCCTACCCATTTTGCATCATTGCCCAACCTCCTGCAACCCTCAGAGGACCCCAAAAGTTAAATGTGGTCCCCAATTAGCAAAAGATTGTCCATTTCTATCGCAGCAGATAGAAGGTTTTAGTATATCACACAATGTCAGTTAAATGTATCACCAGCAAAATGTCTTAGACTTAGCCTAGTTTTTAACAAAGTTTCTAACAGCCTTTAGAATTTTCTTTCCACTGTTTGGTTTATGCCAAAGGAGTTGCAGTTCCAGCACTGAAGCAATAAATGCAGCATGCATGGATTAACTTTCATAGGTTGAATCCTTTCTGAACAGTTCTGAACTGGAAACCCATGGGTATCTTATTGATCTTTGATGGATTGATTGCTTCAGACCGCCAGCATTATGAAAAATATACTCAGTACAACACATAACGTGAATTATTTCACCCAGAAAATGCATATGGGCTCTGGTCACTTTAAAACACTTTCAATTTCTTAAATACTTAAAGTTTGACTTTTTTTTCTCATGGAAATTAGTTGCATCTCATAATGTTTTAATGAGACAGGGAAGTAAGACAATACATAATTTTATAAACTCTTACCATGCTCTGCTGGATCAGACTTATACAGCCTGCTTACTGTATCATTGTCCCTTTGGTCACTGCATCCTATGGAGAAATAGTCCCATGTAGTGACAGGCTGAGATTTAATGAGGTGTTCTGAACTGTGCTGATCAGATTCCTTATTTGAAGCAATTAAAAAAAAAAAAGACAAACAGCTGGATCATAATTTGGCTGTAACTTAACTAATATTCTGACAAACCAATGAAATCTTCTATGAAGATCTTTTTTGCAAAATTCTTATGAGTTTTTAAAACACACATTAAACTAATGCTTGCCATCATGCACTGTAGGAACCCAAAAACTAGCAAAACCACCTATGTCATATCAAATCGTTATTGGAATTGGATCAATATAATATTTTCTTAGGGATGCCTTAGGAGAAAATGAGCATTTCTGTAGGGGGAAGCACACTGTTTTGGGGAAACTAAAGTAGCATAATTAACAGATGAATAATGTTAGCCACATGTAGTAGGTTCACTTGTGTAGCAAAGAAATTATTGATAAAGTGAACCTAAAATAATTTAGAATGAATATCAACTTTGTTATATTCATTATTTTGAGGGATTATATGCATAAGCATAATTTATTTTCAACTACAGCTTCACTTTAATTTGTTCTAACTGCTTTCAAAAAGGAGTTAAAAGTAATAGTGCTTTTGTACACTTAGGACTAAAGAGTGCTATAATTTATAACCTTTTAAACATTTTTTTTAAAATCCTACTTGTGCATAAGATTAATTACTACTTTCTCTACTATATTACTATCCCACTATGTATAATTCTAAGAGAGATGAAATACTATAGAAATTCACTATAAATTTTAGAAAAGTGAAAAGGGTAAAATCTTTCCTTACATGAAGCACATCTATATTCACTTGGTGAAAATTACGGGATCTAAGTTCTTGCATTCTTTTGAGATTTTCTTGATACTTTTCTTCAGCCAACTGTCTGAAAAGACAGTACTGGTATCAACATTACAAACAGTTACTGTAGCATTTCAAATGACTTTTAAAAAACATTTCTTGTACACGAATAGAATGAAAATTGGTATGAGAAAGAAATAGAAATACATCGTACTGCTAATCTTGAATTTTCAAATCTAGCACAATAACTTTGCCATTTCAAGGAAATATAAAAGCTCTATTATTAAATTGTTATCATGGTCTTAGCATGTCAGAGCTAAATTAAGACACTTTCTTTCTTAAGTATGACAAACCAGATAAGCTATGCATAAATAAAATAATACAAAGCTGAATGCTTAAGCCCGTAAAACCTCCCCCTTTTTTTGCTTATATAGTCCTTCAAAAGCTGATCCTAAGGGTTGGAAAAACTTGCTGAATGCAAAAGACTATGCTGCAAGAAGCTGCTAAAGAAGGAGATAGTTGCTTGAACTTGAGCAAACATATTTCTGTAAGAAACATTTGGAGGGCACAGGTAAGAAAACACCCTTCCATTGGCATCCTTCAGAAATCTACAGTATTCACTGAGTGTGAGTTTAAAAAGGAAGGAAGGAAGGAAGGAAGGAAGGAAGGAAGGAAGGAAGGAAGGAAGGAAG